CTTGCTGCGCCTGAAGCACGCAGCCGATTTGTCTACCGCCTTACAACTCCTTCCTATGTGGCCGTATCCAAGGCACCTATTGCACCTAACGACCATACATCTTTTTCTGATTGAACACGCCTTGTGATCCTTTTATTTTGATAAGAAGGTCCCCTTTTTTCGTAGGTCTTGCTCCTGCTAGTCTTTTCTGGCTGACATCAGGTTCAGACTCTCTTTTAATCTTTCCCAAGACATCAGAAAAACTAATTCTATTAGCTACCTTGACAATCATTGTAGCCTTGGTGCTTTTCTGCCTTGGTTTGTATTCGACGCTTTGTCGATCTTACCAGCAGACAGATTGAGAGGATTCACCTCCTCCTTCTTTTTCTTTTGTCCTCCTTTTCTTTTAATGCATTTGTCCTTATCCTCGTTGGAGTTTGCGATGTCAAGTTCAGATATATTGGTTAAAAAACAGAAATGCAACTGATTTGACTCGACACACTGCTCGTACTTCTTCGTCTATATACTCTGTCCCAAAAAAATGTTTTTAAAAATCAAGGTTTCTACGACAATTTTATAGCTCTTTATGTTGTGGTAACAATTTTGTGCAGTCCAGTTTATACCAAAATTCAAGAAAACATTGATTATGCCCAATAATTAATATAATACTTCATCCAAACATTTGAGACCCTGTTTGGAAAAGAATTTATGTCATATAATTTGTACAGTTTACTCGATCTTTGAGATGATGTTAAAAAATTTGGTCTTCTAGATGTCTTTCATGCTTTTAGATTTGAAAATTATATGATAACATTGCAGAAGAGACTTAGAGAAAAGAACAAACCTCTACAACAAGTGGCAAACAGAAGTTCTGAAATGCAGTCTTTTGAGAATGCAAATAATAATAAACCAGTTGATATTTTAAAGCAGTCTCATTACGATGGACCTTTAATGAATAATTCATGTAACAGAATAAAGAAATATAAAACACTCAAATACCGAACTTTTTTATTAGCTGTTGAGTTCCAGCCCCAACAGTGTTCGCTTGCCTTCCCGCCCAATACTTTTCATGCTCCTTTTGACCCCATTTTTCTATGGATCCTGTAACCAAGCACGGCATTATTGCCACTGCTGATTTAGGACCTATAAATACCGTCTAGAAACCGGTTTTTACCAAGACGTCTACCCTTTCATTACCCTTGATTCCCGAGTGACCCGATACCCACATCAATGAAAGTTTATTTACCGAACCCAACTCAACTAGTATGCTACGGAACTCCCAGATAAGTTTCGATTATATTGTTGGATTTTTCAGAGCTCATAAGACTGCCTGACTATTCACACAAATACTAATCCTTTTACCCGTTGTTCCTTTTTAAATGGACATTTGGGCGCAAGTTAAAATCGCACAGACCTCTGCCTGCTAAACCGTGGCATATTTCCCAGTGACTCAGCCACTTTATACAGATAGTTTTTCGATAAATTTTGAAGTCTGATCCGCAGTCTATCTTGGTGCCGTCTGTATACCAGACTTCGTGCTCAAGAGGAAAACCCTTCTTCCAGTCCATTTTGGAAGGAAGAATGATCTTAAAGCGGGGTTTAAATTTCACACTCAGAATCATTCTATCCTACACCATACTTTGTTCTGAAATTGATAGAATTGAACGTGGAAGCTTGGTGTGTTTAATACCTAATTTGTTGGCGTAGTCCTCATAGCCCCCGTAATACCTCTAAACACCATTGCTTACAGTTGGTCCAGATTCTCTTTAACCGTTATAAGTTGAGCCCTAGACCACCAAACAACCACCGCGTGAAGAAACCTAGGTTTTAAAATCATCTGATAGAGCCAGTTGACCATATTAGGTCTTAGTCCCGCGATGACCCTATTGCACGCACTGCTTTTTAGCTGCCCTACAGATAACTTTGCTACCTTCAATATCAAGAAAGGTACCAACGGCATAACCACCACTGCTAATTTGTCCCTCTATCCTACCTACTGCAGAATGAAGGGCTGTTTCAACTGAGAAACCTGCTCTATAAGCATGTTGTCCCGGATGTAGAGGATTTAGACATTTCTATCTGATAAAATTATCCACCAGTTTCTCAAAGGCTTTTAATATAAACGAAGTTGAATGGTTCGAAAGAGCCTATTGCATAATCTATCCCTTCCAGAGTCACAACACTGGAACACTGGTTTCCAGTGTTCCTGATTTCCGTGGGCCTTTCTGGGTTCCACGCCATAGTCATGCTCCAATCTTTCTCTAAAATCCGGGAAGTTTACTTCTATTAGATACTTTAGACACTACCATTTATCTTTGGCAAATTGCCTATTAGGTAACTTAAAGTTAGTTAGTTTGGCCATTGGGTCTCTAGGTAGTACCTTATGGAGTCTTATTTCTTCTGGTACTCTTTCGATTTCCCCGCAAAAACTCCTCCAGCTGATACCCCGTGCCTTCTTTACCTCTTTCTTATAAGAAATACGGGCAGCATGATATGCATCCCATACTTGCTGATTCTTACGTTTCTTAGTTTTATTATAAAGCTTTCCAACTGTTTGCCTATGTCCTTCCAAACAGGAATTCCACCATTTATTAACCCTGTTGAAGTCCAACTTTTTGGCTACACAGCTTCTTTCAAAGGAGCGGATAATTGAATCTCGCAGATATTCCTCTGCAAGTTCCAACTCGTCATGCGTTCCGTAAGAGGTAGGGAAGTCACCTATGAGATCCTCAATATATGAAGCTTAATTAGTACTCCTGGGATTCCGTCCCCATCTATGTTCCTGATCTTTTGATTCCATTCTGAATGTAATAAGTTTGTGGTCCAAAGGGGAATCCTCATCAGAAACCTTCCTGTCCCTCACATCATCCCACACAGACTTGGAACAGATCGTAATATTCAACACTTCCTTTCTATTAACAGAAACGAAAATTGGCTCAATACCCTGATTTAAAATTTCTAAATTCGTATCTATCAAAAAATCTAAAAGTCTTCTATCTCTGTCTTTAATATCAGTGCTACCCCATACGACCCATACTCTGCCGTTGGCAGTAATCTACCAAACTTTCCACCTCTTTAGGTGGTGCGGGTTCAGCCCCCGATCCCGGAAAATAAGTGGAAGCTACTACAATATCCCTTTTATTTCCGTTCCTTTCAGAATACTTAGCCTTAACAGCAGCTAAGTGCCTAGTAGTTAATTCCAATACTTAATTCCAATAGCGGCTAGACCTTTATATATCAGACAAGCCCTTGGAACTGCTTCATGTGGTGAACTTACTAGCTCTCCACCGCCATTAGAGAACTAAATGGCGGTGGAGAGCTATTCTACCCATGTAAACTCAAGGTTCTTGAATAAAGACTAAAGCTGTCTGCATCTTTGTCAAGCTCTTGGCAAGGGACCGTCTCGAAAGTTTAGTTTCGTTTTAGTGTTTGAGTTGACACGAAACTAAATTAACAAAGTGACTTTAGCTTCAAGTCGACACGAAACTAAATTAACAAACTGAGTTTAGTTTCGTGTCGAACCGAAACTAAATTAACAAATTAGATTTAGTTTCGTGACGACTCAAAACAAAAGATTGAAAAACATAATTATTTAGTGTCAATCATAGAAAAATTGTTTCCCCTGACTTACGTAACTAGAGCAACGTAAGTAATTAATGTAAGTTATGTAACCAGAGTAAATTACGTAACTATAGTAATTTTCATAATTAAAGGAAGTTACGTAACTAGAATAACTTACGCAATTAATCAAACTCACGTAAGTTACGAAACTAGAATAACTTACGCAATTAATCAAACTTACGTAAGTTTGATTATTTATACAAATGAAGTAAATTTGACCATTTTACGTAAGTTACGTAACTTACGTAAGTTTGACTAATTGTGCAAATGAAGTAATTTTGACCATTTTGCGTAAGTTACGTAACTTACGTAAATAGTGATTATTTGCGGTGGTTGAGTAAATTCTACTATTTATGAAGGTTACGTAACTTACGTAATTTTGATTAATTGCGTAAGTTATTCTGGTTACGTAACTTACGTAAGTTTGACCATTTACTCAGTTTGTTAATTTAGTTTCGTGTTGACTTGAAACTAAAGTCACTTTGTTAATTTAGTTTCGTGTCAACTCAAACACTTAAACGAAAGTAATTTCTATTTAGTTTCGTTTTAGAAGCGGTCCCTGCTCTTGGCTAAAATCGCCGAAGCGCCTTTACAATGATGCAAATTAATCTGCGTACAATAGATCCCGAAAGAAACCATATTTAAGACTGATTCACGGTCTCCTCTGTCGTCTCTCCTTGTTAACCTTTTAACTGAATATAAATATTTTTTTTCTTTCTACGCAATTAATTGAAATGTAAAATTTATTCCGATGTTCCTAAAATTTTTATTGGAATATTTCCTAAACCAATTATGCAAAACATTGCAATAGAATATTTAAGAAACATTTAAAAAAATATTTCTGCAATATTTCGAAGTAATATTTCAGAATATTCAAAGAATATTTTATTTTTTTACTCTAAACTTTGAATTTGTACATTTAAGGGTAGTTTTTTCGATTAAAAACTAGAGGGAACTAGAGTTTAGAGTAAAAATACTCGATGACACTCGAGAACATTCGAGTACTGGATACGATAGCTGATATCGGGTCAAATTAAATCAAATGTAGCAATAAAATTGTTGAATTTTGTACTATTTATTAGTAAAATTTAACTCATTTAAAAGCAAAAAGTCCCCTTATTGTAATTACAACATGTACGACGAGTATTCGAATTTACTCTAATACTCGAAGTCATTCGAGAACTCGAAAATACTCAAGTAAACTCGCATTTTTAAAGCATAGGCTTTGTTTGCCTCTCGAGAAGTTTGAATTAAACTTGCTCGCTTTTTTATATTACTTTTCAATGTATGTAAAAAATGTACAAAAAAACACTTAATTTTTTTGTCTCTTATTCTTTTCTCTTAATTGATGATGTTGAGTATTTTCTTTATTTGTTTACATTTTCTTTTCATTATTTCAGGTCGTGGAAGATTGGAAGTACGTCGCTATGGTCCTTGACAGAATCTTTCTGTGGATCTTCACGTTAGCCTGTATCATTGGAACAGCATTAATTATTCTACAGGCACCGTGCCTCTACGATCATACAAAGCCGATTGATATAAAGTACAGTAAGATCGCAAAAAAGAAGATGCTGTTGATGAACATGGGTCCCGAAGAGGACTAGCTGACAATTTTGCGCTCAATGCGCACAACTGCGATCACTACGATTGGAGGTATCGGCCTTATTTATAGTCGTTGTTTCTTATACGGACATACGCTGAACAAGGTGTAAAAAAAAAATTTTTTCAAGTTCCTTAAAATACAGCGTGTGAACAACGACAAATAAATCGCAAATTAAAAGCAATACGCGTCACTTCCACTTTTTTTGTCAAAAAAAAAAAAAATGTTCTGAAGGAAACAATTTTTTTCCGGCACTTTTGTGAGAAATATCAATTCTCGTGCCACTTTTCTTTCAATTGTTGTTGCCTCAAGTGGCCAAAACAAAGTGCGTGGGATAATCTGCCAATAGGGAAGAAAAAAAAAATAAAACGAACCCCGATGCCAAAATTCAAGTCAGGAGAGCCAAAACGCTTAGAAGCGGAGAGACTAAAGTGCCAAAAACCGCGAACCGTATTTTTGTAAATCTGGTTTCATACGTAAGGCTAGAGTCGAGCGGCGAGACGTCGAAATCCGAACTGCCGATTTTGTAATAAAAAAATAATAATATTAATATAACAATGTTTACGCAAAAAAAAGAAGAGACTCATTTTCACATTTACACTCATCCAATATATATTTACAAAGCGGTACATACGATTTAATACACACGTAGATGAGATTAATCTGTATATCGTGAAGGAAAACGTTATTCGCTTTAAAAAAAAAACAAAAGAAAAACCAACTGCCAATCTCAAAAGCGGCCTGTAGCTCATAACTAGCCGAGCCCAGACGAGAAAAAAAACATGAGTAAAAAATTCATATAAACATTGCCAAAAGTGATAAGTATTATTACTATTAAAGTAGAATACGGGGAAATTTTTTTCAATTTGAAAAAGATAGGGGAAATTTTTTTACAACAATTTACAAATACAACAATTTGAGAAAAAATAAAGATTACGTATAAGAGAGTTGGCATCAAATTTTTAAACTTCGAGACCGTTGGGCGTCGTTGTTAACGTGCCAAATTTATAAGGGACGGTTGAGATTTAGTCTATTGTCTGGTTATTAATATCTTATAATAATCCTAACCGGAAAAGAAATGAGAAATAAATGTTCCTTAAGCTCACTTCGATATCGTTCTATACAAGTAAAATATTATCGACTTTTTTCATGATTTTATTATTACAATTACCTATTATTTCTTTTTAAATTGTTTTATTAAACAATGAAAGTCCTTTTTCCAGTTCTAATCTGTTAAACTTTATGTTAATTTTCAAAAGTAATTTCATTTAGACTCGAATTTTATACTTATTCGCATTTGCAAATTTCATTCTTTTACATGTAATGACAAAAACTGGAGGACTTAGCGAAAAGTTTAAAACTTAAAAAAAGTAAAGAAATTTCATAACCTATGTACTATAAATAACCTGAAGAGTTCTTTCATTGAAAGACGAAAGCTTGAAAGTTAAAATTCTTTAAATAAAGACCAGCAAAAAGAAATACTTTTCTACATCATTTTCACTACAAATAATTCTGATCGACATGAAAACTACAATCTTTTAATACGTACTATAAACTTTAGTAGTACCTGATTATAGATTTTTAAATCAACTTTTTAAAAATAGCGTACTTTTTTAGTAATTTATTATATTTTCTGATGAAATCATGTAAATTGTTAATAAGAAAGAAAGTTTACACCCTGTTCAGAAACGCACATGTACTAACAATGTTTATAGCATTTATAGATTATGAAATTTCTTGATTTCTTATTTTAGATCTTTCACTTTTTAAAAAAACGGTCCTACCGTTTTGGTTTTTAAAAAATTAGGCAACTCAAATATTGCATATCGCTGCCAGTTTATAGTAAAATTTCAAATAACATTTTTTACACTGTAACAAGTATTTAATAAAATCGGCACAAAAAAATATATTTCAATTGCGAAGACTGACATATGGTAAGTTCTTTTTCTTATGATGTATCTAAACAGAAACTGTAACTTCACTTTCACTATCACTTTCAATTTCACTTTCAATTTCACTTTCAATTTCACTTTCAATTTCACTTTCAGTTCACCTTCACTTTATTTTTAATTCACTTTCACTGCACTCTTACTTTACTTTCATTTCGTTTTCACTTCACTTTCACTGGCACTTTATTTTTCTTCAATTTAAATTTATTTACATTTCAAATTTTCTTAAAATATCAAAGGTAAGTAATTTTTTTTAATTTTGAAGATAAGTTAGATTTAATAAAAATAAAGTGACGGTGACTGTGAATTGTGAGTAAAATGAAAGTGAAGTTAAAGTGACGTAAAATTAAAGTGACACTGAATTGAGAGTGAAGTGAAAGTGAAGTTACAGATTCGACTTTCTGGTTTTTTTTCACAGACGTGTTGGTTCAGTGATTTTAATTATATAAAACGTGAATATATGAAAAAATTCAAAATGGCGAAACCAAATTAGCGGACCTGAAAATATGGATGTTAAAAAATTTTTTCGGGTTTTCTTAAAACTTGTTACTTGAGGGTTTTCCAGGTCGCTGATTACGAATGTGAAGTCAAAAAAAAATTTTAACCAAAAATTCTTGGGATTTATGTTTAAGACGATTTTTGTGGACTCCATGTATATTTATATATAAATTCATTTTTTTTGTTAAAATTTTCTTCTTTAGAAAAAACCCGTGGTTTGACCAGACTTTCCCCTTAAAAAATTAAAAATGTCGATCAAATTAAAAAAAAATATTTTTAAATTTGTCATTTTAGGCCTGCTATATTGGTTCCGCCATTTTGAATTTCTTTATGTAATTAGTTAGAGTCACTGAATCCAAGTATATAGTCAGAAGAAGCGAAAATTCAGTTTTAGACATAAAAAGTAAGTAAATTCCCATAAAAATCAATAAAACTTCAACACCCCAACACGTCTACAAAAATGGAACTCAACACGAAACTCGAGATCGGACTACGTTTTTCTCTTTAGATGTATCATATAGAGAAGAGAATTTACCACAGGCAGTCTTCGCACTCGAAATTTTTTTTTTGTGCAGGTGTAATCCCTCTGAAATTAAATCCTATTTTAATTTTCATAATGTAAATCATCAATGAATGTTAGAAGAATAATTCTTGAATATGGTACTTTCTTTCAGTTATGTATTTTTAAATTTTTATTTATTTGTTATTCACTTGCAAAATAATTATTTTTTTGCATTATTATTATTATTATTTACATATTTGATAATTTGTTTACTATTAATGTTAAGTCGACTTTTAATTAAATTATAATGAAATTAAAAAAAATTAAGATTTATTGAAATTCAAAAATATTTTGAAATTTAAAAGTGAACATCGTTCTATTAAATTGAGTGTTTAGGGTTCTTGAAATGTTGTTGCATTTAGGAAAAGTGTCTGCGATTGTGAGGAAATATTGCAGAAAACGTTTCATAAATATTATACTGAAATTTTCTGGAAATGTAGAATTACAAATTACAGCAATATTGTATTTAAAAATAGTTTAATTAAATTATGCAATTGAAGTATTTTTATAAATTTTGATTTATTAATTTATTCAAGTTGTTTTTCATTATTTGAGTAAATATTAGGTTTCAATTTGTATCCATAACTGGATTGTTATTATTATTGTTATTCAGTAATAATAATTAGTTTGAGAAGAAAGAAATAATTTTATTTCTAATTAGTAAGAAAAGATGTAATTATGAAGTAGATAAAAGTGTGTAGCCTTTCCCTACCATGCGGCCAGGGGTCTGAATTTGGGGCAGTTATCAAATAGTCCTTCGAGGGGAAGTAAAAATTAATTTAAATTTTAGGTTTAAAAGGATTTTTGGACAAATTTTAACCTCTCACTTTTTTAAGTTTTACAACACAAATCTTTCCCGTATGTGGTTAAAATTTGTTCAAAAATTCTTTTAAACCAAAAATTTTCAATCAACTTGCACATAACAGACGTAGTCTATATTATTATAAACATTTTTTAATTACTTTCATTAAAAATTATTCAAAACTCAATTATTAACCAGATACCGGAAAATTTTTTAATATTTTATTATCATATTCAAATTGCTTATTTTCTTACGATGTCAGGCATATGTAACGGTCCACGAGAAAACGTGCCTTAGCATAATAAAAAACGTTTTTATAATAGTGTAAAGAATTTCACGTTATGACAAATAAATTTATAAAATTAAAAAATAGAGTCAATAGAAGTTTTCAATTTTGTAATAGTACAAGGCTACGGACTTTTAAAAAGAAGTCATAATTTTTGTCAACAAGTCTTTAAAATTAAGTTTAATGATGTTCTTAGTAGGGGAAAGGTGTATGAGATGATCCCTTGGGGATAGATGATCCTTTTGAATTTTGGAGAGACTATTGGCGTCCTCTTTTATGTAAAAAAAGTAATACGTAGCCAATGACATTCCGAAGAATCAGTCAAACTGTCATCTCTTTTTTTATTATGAAAACTAACTTACTTAAAACAAAAAGTTGACATCTACATCTATTTAATTACTTTTTCTGTTGTAGACAATGCCTTGTAGCTATAAAATAGGAAAACGAATCGTGGTGAATGATCAATAATTAAAGCATATTTAATATTGATACAATGTTATTTTTCCAATTTAGTCTCCATTTCCAATAATTGGGGTAAGATTATCCTACTAATCATCTTGTCCATACCATCGGCATCATCTTAAATACACATGTGTCAAAAGTGATCCTTTTATAAGGTTTTAGAAAAAAGAAATTTAATAGTAAAATATTAATTACTTGCTTAAATTTAAAATCAAAACAGTTAGGTAAATTAATTATCTACTAGTGTGCACAAAAAAATTCGAATATGTTGATTATCTTTTGAATAATGGTTATTTTTCCTTAAGAGGATCATCTCGTATACCTTTCTCCTAATATAAAAATTAAACAAGAACAATTTCGAAAATAATACTGATTTAGAAAAAATATACCTTCTTTGTGGTTGATATGACTTATTGAACACCAAACCAGATTAAATAATAAAATACTTAACACAGAAGATATAAAAAGAAATAAAAAGATAGAAAAATTAAAAATACAAGATGATATACAATAATATAATTTAAATTTATACCAAAATTTTTTATAATACAAAACCTGAACATTGGTTTGTGAATTTGAGTGATGTACAGGTACATAACCGAGTAAATAATATTCTTAGACTTGGAAAAGACTAATATTATTGAAATTAATTATAAAAAAAACCTCGTTTTAGAACTTGGCAAATATGTATAAAACAATATTAAAAAAAATTCGAAAAAATTCTTATTGATAATCAGAAACGTTTCAGATCTAAAATACTGAACATGTCATTAAAATTTCTTACAGCCATTCAAAATTTTTTGATAAAAAATTAACATCAGATATATAAAAAATTACAGATATCTATCTGTAATTTTTATTTCTGATGTTAATAATAAAGGAATATAAAAATTTAATGTGTACATATGCTAAGTAAGGTAATTTTACTATGTTAGTAGAGAAAGACAAAAATATCAAAGACTTTTGAAAAATTACATGATGATAACTTGATGATAACAACTTAGAAAAAGACCCCTTTTACTTGATAAAAGAATGGTGGGAAATATTAAAGATATTCAAAGGAAACACATTTTGAATGAAAGTACAAATTTATTACATTTTGTTATGGTTCATAGTACACCGATTGGTTCCGTCATTTCACCAATTTTGGCAGAAATAATTTCTGATGACTTAGATCATAAAATACTAAATTACATATAATTTGTTATCACGTCATCCAATTCAGAAAAAAGTAGCTATTGTTAAAAATCTCGTTGATAGAGCAATATTAAACTAACGCATCAAATATTTTACAAAGATAATAATCGTAATAATATTAGAGATTTATTATATCTAAATCATTATTTTAAAAGCTTTTATAAAATACATATAAAGTCAATCTTAAAACAATATAAAATGAATACAATTTTTAGAACTCCGTTTCAAATCCGTTTCAAATAAAAAAAATTTTACGATGTAGGGAACGACAGACTTAAAAATTGAGAAAAAAGTAATGCCGTATATAAATTAATTTATATTAGTCAAAGAACCACAAAACTAATATTTAAAAAAAATGAATATTAATTACCATAATGTTATTTCTAAACACAAAATAATCTATAAAAACATGAATTTGATTGGAATAATCTTAAAGTAATTGATCATTTATTTATGCTTTTAAAACGCGTTTGCTGGTTCACACTGAAAAGTAGTTGAAATAATTTTTTTTGTCCTACCTGCACGGAAAGTATAACTATTCTTCATTATAATCTAACACAGTGTGTATAATTAAATTTACTATTTCTTAATTTAGGATACCTTTAACCAATAAAGTGTTTACATTACAAAATCAACTACAAAATCTTATTGCAGAATTGTATTTGAAACATGTTTAAATTCTAAGCTTTTCAAATTTTAACATTTTTATGATATCATTTGCCTGAAATCCAAAGAAAATAAGAAATTTGAATATGATAATAAAAAATTTTACATTATTAATATTAAAAAAATTTATATTTTATTTTAAAAAAGTCATTAAGGATAAGAGGAATTCTCCATTAAATTTTCACTTAAAAACAATTTTTTTCGAATTCTATATGAAAAATAAGTAAATACCTATTTTTTATTTTATTTTATCAAAATTACGGAAGTTATGATTTCTTTAAATTTAACGTCTTCAGGAGCAGAGATCCCCACGTGAATAAGTTCCCGGAAAAGCACACCTAGGAAATTCCAACAGGAAATCTCGCTATTAAATTTTTAATCAAAATTTTGATAAATGTTTTTGCAATTTCATGAAAAGTATGCATATGTAAAATCACTCTGTGAAATTTATTTAGAAAGAAGATTTCGAATGTATAAGATGTCATTGGAACATTAGGTTTTAACCTTTGATAATTAATTATTTAATTTTTAACCTCTGATAACAAAAATTATTATAACTAAA